TTTGACTTCAATTTGAATATATATATATATATACACTTGATTCCTGCATCCGCTCTCACGGACAAGCACGCACACACACACACACACACACACTGCTGTTCAAATGTTTGGGATCAGTAAGATTTTTTTATGTGTTTTACAGAAGTCTCTTCTGTTCATCATGGCTGCATTTATTTGCCCAAAAATACAGAAAAAAAAACAGTAATATTGTATAGTATTATTACCATTTAAAATAATGGTTTTCTATTTCAATATACTTTAAAATAAAATGTATTTCTGTGATGCAAAGTTGATTTTTTATCATCATTACTTCAGTCTTCAGTGTCACATGATCCTTCATAAATCATTCTAATATGCTGATTAATTATCAACATTGGAAACAGTTGTGCTGCTTAATATTTTTTTGGAACCTGTGATACCCTTTTCAGGATTATTTGATGAATAGAGTTCAAAATAACAGTGTTTATTTAAAATATAAATCTTTTCTAATAATATAAGTCTTTAATATCACTTTTTATCAATTTAACACACCTTTTCTGAATAAAAGCATTCATTTCTTTAAAAAAAATAAAAAGAAATAAATACTGACCCCCAAACTTTTGAACGGTAGTTTATTGTTACAAAAGATTTCTATTTTGAATAAATGCTGTTCATTTTACCTTTTTTATTCATCTAAGAATCCTGAAAAAAAAGTATCACAGGTTCCAAAAAAATATTAAGCAGCAAAACTGTTTCCAATATTGATATTAAATCAGCATATCAGAATGATTTCTGAAGGATCATGTGACACAGAAGACTGGAGTATTGGCTGATGAAAATTCAGCTTTGCATCACAGGAATACATTATATTTTAAAGTATATTAAAATAAAAAACAATATTTTAAATTGCAATAATATTTCACAATATTACTGTTTTTCTGATTAAAAAAAATGCAGCCATGATGAGAAGAAGAGACTTCTTTAAAAAGTTCTCAAAATAACCCGGAAATGACCGTTCTCAAATAATCAAGCTGTTTAGGTGGAAAAAAATCACGACAATTCATTCTATCCCATGTATGAATACTATCCAACAATTTTACCACTTTATGAGCTTATTTTACTAAAAAAAATCTTTTTCACAGAAATCTCCAATTTGCTCCTATGGGATGTTTTGTAAAGCTTGTCTAAGTTAACAACACCAACCAAGAGAGAGGGGGCGGACTGAGTTTAGCGAAGAGCCAAGCAAACTCCATGTAAGAAAATTAAACAAATTCTATAAATAAAAATGGATATGCGTTTGAATGCTTATAAATAATAGTCAGTATTCACTGCAGAATGATCTTTGTACAGTGGCCTGCACATCATCTATGAAAGAGTGATTGACTCCATCTAGTGGAGAGAATGACTCTCTGCCTGCATGTGATTCCACACATGGCAACATTTTGAAACACTCTGAATCATAACCAAACACAAGACAGGACATAACCCTACTCAAGATGAGCTTAAGACGTCATTCGTCACAGTCAGTTGGCTCAAGTGTAGCATGCAAAATATAATTTCCTCATCCACATGAAGTCAAATTACAGGTCTAAACTTGAAATGTATTGTTATCTATGTAGTTTTTGGTTTAAAACCAGGATTGAGCTGTGGTGTTTACATTCCTCTGCACAGAAGTGAACAGTTTGCTGTGCATTAAGTTTCTGTAAGCCTTTGTGCTGTAAATCTACAGTCTTTGTTTATACAGGATGTACAATAAAACTTTGAGTGAGTCATTTAGTTTTGTTTCTCAACCACTCATGCCAATTTGTGCTATCATTCAAGACACTGGGTTGTTTAAAAAGTTGAGTAAGAGAGGATGTGGAAAAGGAGGGAAGCAGTGAGAGTGTGAGACAGATAGAAAGCAGGAGAGAGCTGTCACAAATGAAGACAGCGGTCAGCTGGGATGGCGAGGGTCAGAGGTTAAGGAGGAGAACAACGGGGGTGGAGAGTGGAATCTCAAACAACAGGAAAAGACTTCTACACACAGACTCCGGAACTCTCTTTGAGAGATGGTGACAACCAGACACCTTCAGCAGATCAGCTGATCTATTCTAGCGTAATGTGTAGGATAGCCCCTTCTCATCAGTGTGAGAGGAGACTCCATGGCCCTGTTCTAAATGCCACTCAAAATTTTTGGTAACAATGCCACATATACTGTCTGGAAGTAGTCCACTGCACTACAGACACTGCAAGTGGACGGACTGATGTGGGAAATCATAAATCATAAAATGTGAAATATATCAATACGGTGACATAGACCTCATGGACATGCATGAGCGAATGCAAATTCCTATCAAGTGTGCCATTTGGGACAAGGCCCAGGGCAGTGGGCTTCTTAAATTCTTTTGCTGGATTGTACTGCCCCCTATCAGTAACATTTGTTACTACATTTGATAGTTTGTAAAGATTTTAATTAAGTAGGCCTTCAATTAAAATATAACACTTACATATAACTTTGTTTAATAATTCTGTTTTCTTATAATTAACCTAATGATATACTGATTTCTTATTAATATCAGTTATTGGATTAACTTTTTGTTGTATTTATCAGATGAAAATTATTTAAACGCATTTTGTGAAAGTGAAATATCCAGGTTCTGATTAATTTTGTTCATACACTAAATGAGTCTACAACAATAAATAAATAAATACAAAATCAACAAAAGTCTTGTAATCTAATAAAGGGTAATAGGTCAAGACAAAACTGACTCACCACTAGGGGGAGTAAGAAAGAACAATGCGCATTTTAGGCTTGAGAAATACTAAAAGCGTGGTATTAATTAATCCGAAAAGAGCAATATAAACAATAAGACAATTATAAGCAAAATAGTAATATAATTTATAAGTTATTTATGAATTTCAAAAGTATGCATTATGCATTAACAGGCAAAATATATTAGTGTTTGTATAAATTTGCAAAAACGTCTACATTCATTACAGTTTTGGATTTGTTTTATTATTTATATATATATATATATATATATATAATTTTTTTTTTATAAAACTTTTTTTATAAAATTACCTTTAACAAAAGTGTTCCATCCGTGACCTTTATGGACCTTTCACTTTGGCCTTTTAATACCTATGTTATGCAGCTTTAAATCTTCTTTTTTTTTTTTGTAAATCAAATTTTGACTAAAAATTTTGCTTTTTTTTTAGGATTTAACCCCTCACACACAGTGTTCCATATGGCAGGGTACAACGGAGTTAAAAGGCCCTATGGATGTAACTCTTATATGACAACAAAAACCAATACTTATTTATTTTACTTTATTTACCATTCCAGACACAATAGAGATTTGACACAATAGATAATATATATATATAGAGAGAGAGAGAGAGAGAGTATTTATGAAATACTTGTAAACAAAAATTGCAAGGGCTATTGTTGATTTTTATAGCAGAGTAATAGATTTAACAATATAAATATGAAATCCCAAAGTGACTTAAAATGAAAAAAGGATAACATATCTTTTACTGAAACTGTGTCCCAAAGTTCTTCAACATTTATTTTTACACAAATTGTGTTATTTCATCAATATTTAATTAATTAATTAATTTTTATACCAAATTTATTTATTTATTATGTATTATTATAACAGTCATAATTAAGAATTCATACAGTTTTAATGATATGTAATATTGTTCAAATTTAAACACAAGAAGCAAAAAAAATCAGAATAGCCAAATTATTCATATCAAAGAGTAGGCCTAATCATTCATTTCAGTCAGTGTGCAATATTTCTATGCCTAGATGTACAGCCTGCCATATTCGACTGAGGAATATGTATTCGCTCGCTTTACAATTGACAGAGAAAGAATATTACGGTTATATATAGATTGGGAAACTTTACTGGAGCTCGGGTGTATTTTCTGTCAGGTGCGGCGCTGTTCAGGCGAAGCGGAAAGCAGCAGGCCCACAGACAGCGCTCAAACACTTTCTCCCTCAGCTCCACGCTAATATTGACATCTTGCGCAAATCTCCTTTTGAGGTGCTAGCGAGAAACATCTTTAACGAAGTCGTCAGTCGACATGACAACGTTTCCCAAACCTCAAACACGCGCTCCCTTATAATAAACCTCACGGGACTATAAAGTAAAGGTTTTGCGTGATGCAGGATTTGGAACAGACATGTTGTTAAGCACCAGATATGTGTATCGCTGACGGTATCGAAATCTGTTTGCTTGTAACGTTAAAGCGCTCCAGTGTCACATTAACACGCTCACGCGATATTAAACTCGGCCACAATCGTCGAGATGATGTCGGACTCCTCCATTTTCCCTCTCCTCGGAAAAAAATAAATAAATAAAACAAACGGCAGAGCTGGGAAAACAAACGCGCTGTTTACATGTTTAGACGCCCAAATAATATAGTTTCGATGTCATTTTCATATGTCGAATCGAATGAAGTGCTTTGTGCTGCGCAGCTTGCGGTATTTTTGTATGCCTCGTTTGTTAGCCACACAAAATCCTCTTAGTATATATAAATACATATACCACGCCATCGTTTACTGCGCAGCACTGCTGAACGCACGTGTATGTCTTCACGCGCAGTCATTTGATCAACTCTAATGTAAAAAGCGTCTTTGAAAGACGAGTCACAACTTCTTGAATATATAAAGTCCTACCTAAAATCGAAATTTAACACTTTGTGGCCTGTGCCAGCACACGGCAGACTCCATCTTGAATGATCAAGAGCGCTGAACTTGAATAAAATCGCGTAATTTCATACGGTTCCGAGTGTTTCCAGGTTGTGGTTAAATGCTTGGGTTTATTTCAGAAGAGGATTATAAGGAAAAGATCACTTATGGGTAGAAATGTCAGCTCGTTACAAGAGCACAGTTTCTTGCAAGTGAGTGGGAACATAGTATTAATAAGACGCCAAATGTTATGTTAAACGTACATTTGATGGTTTTATGAAATATATAAATATATTTGGGGATAAAGTGGAGCATAGGAGTTGAGGAGAGCTCCTCTCACAGGGGGTTGGGTTGCCGTGCCGATTGGCTGCTGTTCATAGACATACAGTCACGGGCTTGCAACAGAACCAGGGGCAGGTCGACAGCAAGGAAACCATAATCATTGAAAATGAAAAGTACAACGTCCGTATCGTAACCCAAGAGGTACGTTGTGACTCAGACATCGCGCACTGGACAGGTTCCTCTCTGTGTGAGTGTTCTAATGCATGTGTTTGATGTGTTTTTATTTTGAAGGTGTAGAGTGATGATATTATGAATGTGTTCTCAGGTTCTCTGGCCTACTACTGCAGCTGCGGCTGGGATTTTCTTGATCCACTTTCACAATTTGAAAAAAAAGGTCATTTCACGCGCACAAACGAAGAGTTTTCAATATCAGTGACATTGGCCAACATGTAAATGGTAAGATTCCATCGGTGTTTCCTTAGGCATCACATTTGGTATGTTTTAAAATAACGAAATATTAAGTAGAAGACCGATGTAACTCTGTGAACTCGTGCTGATGTTTGTTCGGGAGAGAGATATTATTCATATAATATCATATAAATATTGATGAGATTAGCACGCGTGACAATGAGCCCAGCGCTGCCAGTTGTACATGTATGTCATTACTGTATCTCGTCATGTTGTACTTCTTCATGTGAATTGTGTGAGTCAGAGTTCAGTCTTTGCTCTGTCATATATGTGCGCCCGCTTTCATTGCTGCGTTCCTGTTTTATGGAATATGTTCGTTTACCATACTGCCCCTACTAGGAATAGTAAGCAGTACGTTATTAATCCGGCCGAACGTACAGTCACGCTACAGTTCTTATGTTGAAATTTCTTTATTTCAACATAAATTTAATCTACATTGTAAAAAAAACAAAATCTCAGTATAAGTCATGTAACTAGATAAATAGATCCAATTAAATAAATGATACACAAATATTTACATTGACTTATGTTGTGTATTCCACTTATTTGTTAAGCAAAATGATTCAGAAGTGATTGGAAAGGGTTACAAAACATTTCTATAGAGTGGGGTTTCAAAAATCTTCACAGAATACAAGTGCACTTTCTTAATCTACCAAGAAATGGTCAATTACAAAAATCTCTCCAAAAGCTGGACATATAGACTGATATTCAAGGAGGTCACAAAGAACCTCAGAGTAAGATCTTCAGGACATTGGCTAAGGTTTGTCAGCCCACCATCAAGTAGACAGGAAGGACATTGCTGCAGCACCAAGAAGAACATTGCTGCCTGTCTGAAATTTTACAAAGGCCATGTGGATGAGCTAGAAGACTAATGGAAGAATATTTTGTGCACAGAGTCCAAAATAGAGCTTTTTGGTTTTAATGAACAGTTGGCGAAAACTAAACACTTCAATAATGGGAACCTCATCCCACCCATATAGCACAGTGGTGGCGGTATAATGGTTTGGGCAGCTTTGCCCTTCTTGTCATTGTTGGAAATATAAATTCTGCCTTATACCAGAAATTTCATTCCATAAAGATGAATAATGAAGTGTTCCTGCAGCAAGACCACCACTCTAAACACATAAGTATGTCTACCATTGAAAGGTTAAAGCAGAAGAAATGTAATGTTTTGGAATAGCCAAGACAAAGTCCTGATCTTAGCCCAAAATTTTCAGCTTAATAATTCTTAAATAAGTGAAAATATGTAATTATATAAACATAAAATTAATTATATATTGTATATGTAGTTAAAAGGCATAAACTTGCAAACAACAATGCTGGGCACTTGTTGGCAGCTTTCATTTACTATTACTGCTATTCCTTTTCAATTCCTATTCCAATTCAAAATTTTGATTACAGTTTTTAAAGAATTCACAAATAAGCACGCACAAATTTGTCTGCTGATCTAATTTCAAGCATTTAAGCATATTGTAAGCCTTTAAATCTAAATTCCTTTTTAAGATGTTTTCAGTCAAGTGAAAACTTTGACTAGTGGTGTGTATTGTTATCAGCATTCATTTTAGAATTGTTATGCTCTAATTGTTTTTTACACACACAGATGAAGTGAATGTTTATCTGTATACACAAATTTGTTTTTCAGGTAGGAAGCAGTGCCATTATGATCCACCCACATGTGCATACTCTTAGTAACTGTACCTGTCCACAGGTGCCTGATCCACTTGAAAGTACATGGAAAACATCACCAACCAGCAGACAGACACTTGGCTTTAACACTGGCCCTTCTTGTCTCATCTGTCTAAGGGTTAAAGTCTAAGAGCAAAAGCTTACTCACTTAACGTCCGTAGAGAAGCCTTAACGATCTGACCTTTGGGATTTAGGACCTGCCTCTGCCTGACAGGGACCCACAAGGCTTATGGGACAGTGCACACACAAGAAACTCAGATGGGGGCGTGGTAGCCAGACTGAGTTGTTGACACGTCTGTCTAAAAATGGATGCAGCTTTGACTGACAGCTGCACGTCCCCACCCAGTCCTGATTTTAGTCTGGACTCATCCAGTCCGTTTGCAAATGGACTGCACTTTGAGTCAATTCTGTTTGAAGATGAGGACGAGGATGAAGTTATGGATCCAGAGACTGGATCTCAGCTGGAAAGAGCCTTGTGTGGCTCAACAAAATTGGATGTCAAGCCTAAAAGCAAAATTTCAAAGGGTCGCTCATTTCTGGGGCAAGAAGCTGTATTTGAAGACAAGTCTACAAGTGATTGTGGGCTTTCTTCTCTTGTGAGCAGGCCTGCTGGGATTATAATGGCAAGTTCTGGTTCTGTCCCACCATCCCCAACATCAAACCACTACAAATATTTTTTAGATATCTCTTCATACTACTGTCAACTGTGGCACTAGCTTTTAAAATGAGGAACATGTAAAATCTTAGAAATGGAATTTTCATAATAATTAGCTTAGAGGGCACTACATTTTGACAATTTCGAAACTGTTCTTATGCTTGGGGAGAGAATGGATCATATTGAATATTTTATGAAAAATGTTTTTTTTAGGTGATACTGAAACTATTCAGCTGTAAATTAATCTCATTCATATATGATGTCTACCAGCAGACAAAAAAAATGAAAACAAAGGCTCTACCACCAGTGAAATATTTGGAGGGTGAAGTAATATGGGCTAAATTCAACCGTAGACCATGGTGGCCATGTCAGGTGACTGTTCACCCAGTTGAGGGAGTTTACCACAGAATTAAAGGTAAGTATACAATCACAGAAGACAAAACCACAGAACACACATTTCTAACTTCATGAACCAGATTCACAACATTTTCAATGGCTTTTTTTCCACGTAATCCACCCCAAAATATATATTAAAAAAAATTAAAAAAGTGACGTGACATGTGGCCAAGTATGGTGACCCATACTTGGAATTAGTGCTCTGCATTTAACCCATCCAAAGTACACACACACAGCAGTGAACACACACACACCGTGAACACACACCTGGAGCAGTGGGCAGCCATTTATGCTGCGGCACCCAGGGAGCAGTTGGGGGTTTGGTGCCTTGCTCAAGGGCACCTCAGTCATGGTATTGAAGGTGGGAGAGAGTGCTGTACATTCACTCCCCCCACCTACAATCCCTGCCGGTACAAGACTCGAACCCACAACCTTTGGGGTACGAGTCCGACTCTCTAACCATTAGGCCACGACTTCCCTAAACAACTCTTTATCGAATTGTCCTTCCTTAAATTTCTTTGTGCGATTGTGTTTCAGAGCCACCAGATAGGACCAATCGGCAGTATTTCCTCAAGACATTTGGGGAACCTGAAGAACAGGCGTGGGTCCCTGAGCGATCTACTCATATATTTGTGGGTGGATATCAATTTAACAATCTCCCAATGGTGAGAGGAAACGGACGCCAACAAGACGAAAACTCCAGACATTCTGTAATTTCTGAAACGTCCTTTCAATTAAATAGATATTGTGACATTTTTTTAAAACCTTTGTGAAATTGTTACTCTTGGGTTACTTTGCAGATACCCAAGCGGTTTCTGAACTCTTGGAGAGCTAGTGTGGTTGAAGCAGAGGCACTTCTCCTGGAGAAGCCAAGGGTCACCACTCTCTGCTCAGACTTCACCAAAACAATCACTGAAGGAACTACAAATAATACAGAAAACAAAGTGTCTGTGCCTGTGGAATTACCCAACATTAGTCCTCTGACCAATGGAACAGTTGCACAAAAAGACCACATGAACACCTTACCACATAATCAGGGGTCTAAAAACCAAAAGAAACAGAGAAAGTCTTCAACACATTTTAAAAAATCAGAGGAATTTCATTGTGAGAAGGATAAGATTATGGAAGCTTTGGACAGTCCCTACTCTGACATTGATTCTGTACCACAGATCCGCAGATGTCCCAAAAGCACTGAGCAAATTTCGAAGCACTCTGCTGTTAATCAATCAAACTCAACCTCAAGTCAACTTCCCATTACAAATGACAAAGAAGTAAAGAAGAACATGGAGAACCAGGGTGGCCTTTGGTTTAGCAAAGCAGGGAAAGGTCAGGTCAACGGGGGACTTAGTCGTGCTGGAATTAAATCTGTGAACTGTTCTTTCGGGAAGGTATCTTGTAAAATTAAGATGCCAGATTCCATAAGCATGAAACCCAAAGACAAACACATCACTGGACTTGAACATCTATCTACTGAAGCCAAGAAAGCTCTCAATAGGAGAGTGAAGTGCCTTCCAGCAAGTAGTCGCCTGATGACAAGAGCACTGAAGGCGATGGAGGAGGCAGAGTGGATGAAGAAACAACTGATAAACCAAGAGTCAGCATCAAAGGTCGAAACAGAAAATTGTGTGTCTTCTTCTGACGTTACGATGCCAGAAACAACAGATGTAGACAACCATATCCCTTCACAGAAGATGTCAACTACAGCAAGCTGCGATCTGAAAGAGGACTCAAAAAGTAACATACGCACCCAGCTATCATCGGATCTTCTGAGTTTTAAAGACGATGCAAATTTTGTCAAATCTGAAGATGAAGCTTCTTTGATATCTCAAGCACCTGTTGCCTTTTATTCATCCAAATACAAGCAAGAGAGTCATGCTTCTGATTCATCTTCTAGTTCTACTCCATCTTTGCGCTTAAAGATGGAAGATGTGGAGAACATGAAAGAAATAACCTTCAAATCACTAACAAATGATCACAGTGGCCAGCCTTTGTCATTTCATCCTGATGCAAACTATAAGTTTAGCACATTTCTAATGATGCTCAAGGATATGCATGATAGCCGGGATAAAGATGGAACCGCATTGGTAATAGAACCGTTACCCATAAATGAACTTATTAAAGAGGAGCCATCACTGATTCTGGATGTAAAGGATGAGATGACCACAGTAAACACCGTGGATACACAAAAATGTCAACTGGGCAAAACTGCATCAAAACAGAAGATGAAACTGAAATCTGGGACAAATATGATCCCAGAAATTCAGCTTACCTCTTCTGTGTCAAAAAATGCTCAAAGACCTAGCAAAAAAAATTGTTTGAAAAAGAAAACCACTGAGATCGCAGCAAACATCCACTTGAAAGATACATTTGACAAACTTCACCTGCCCTCAGAAGAACCAGACTCCAAGTTCTCGGCTAATGTGCCCAAAAAGCGTTGGCAAAAGTTTGGCCAAGTCAGTAACAAAGCATTACATGTAGTCAAAGGTACTTGTATTAAAAAAACAGAACAATTACCCTCAGAAAATTGTGATGTTTTGGTGGGTAATACAATTAAGTCTTGTCCTTTTGCGCCTGGGAAGGAAACTACCATCAATGCATCTGAAAATACTCAAGGCAACTCTCAAAAAAATGACATCACAACAGGTAAGGTAAATGTAATCCATGCCAACATCATCTAAGGATAATGTGTAGTTGTGAAATTTTGAGTGGGCTCAAAAATGTTTGTGCTTTTCACAGAATGCAAACGTATTAGAAAACCTAGCAAAAGACTCATAGAATGGACAGAGGAATATGATCAATTGTTTTCTACTAAGAAGAAAGCAAAAAAGAAACCTGAGTCCTTTACTAAGGTAGCTCAGTTTATGTTAGCTAATCAAGTTGATGATGAGGAAGTTTTCTTGTATTCTGTAATTTTAACATTCTGGCAACTTTTTTAAACTTATGAATAGGTTGAAAACAACAACTGCAGTGGCCCAGTGGAGAAAACATCTGGCGAAAGTATACAGAAACCTCAGGTGACAGAACAATGTGTGTCAAGACCCATGCCAGAATTGCAGACTCCTCCTCCAGAAGACCTGTCTCGGAGCACTCCTTCAATAAATACCACGCCATGTCAAGAGAGACAGGTGTTGTCTGTAGACACGCTAACTCCACTTCCAGAAACAATCCCATCCCCATGTGGTGAAATTTGTCATAAGGAGGAGCTTCAAGGACAAAATGCTTTAGCCACTGGTGAGTAGCTCTTTCGAAAGTTTACATAATTATGAAGAAAGTCACAAATGTTATGAAAGTTTGGAAAATACTTGATATTTCTCAAACATTTCTGTTTTTGCAATGGCCATATGTAGACCTATTGCAAGCCAGAGCCACTATTTATTGCTTTTTAATTTATTTTTAGGGCTAACCATATTCAGTAATTTTTATCAGAACAAACATAACAGTCAAAAATAAATGATTTTTCATCATTTAAATAGGTGATGGTGTGTGTCTAAGCACAAAGAGACAACGGAAACCCTCCAAAAAGATTCTAGAAAGCTCCATTGAAGCTGAACCAATTATTGTGCCTAAAAGAAAGGTACTTGTTTAAACTATAACTATTTTAAAAACATACTTCTTGCAATTGTAGTCTAGTTTGTTTAGTTGGTCACACTTTAGTTTGGGGACAAATTCTCATAATTAACTAACTATTAACTACTACTTTTGCCTCAATAAACTCCTAACTGCTGCTTATTTAGTAAGGTAGTTGTTAAGTTTAGGTATGGGGTTGGATTAATGGATCTAAAATATGGTCATGCAGAATAAGGCATTAATATGTGCTTTATAAGTACTAATAAATATGCTAGCAATATGCATGCTAATAAGCAACTAGTTAATCGTTAGAATTAGTCTCTAAACTAAAGTGGTACTGTTTAGTCTAATGAATGGAAAATTGGGCTAATAGCATTATCATTCACAGGTGAAGTCCCAGAAGATTTGCTCATCTGGACAATCTACAAATTCAGGTTTGACCATTGAAAGCTTTCAAAACTGTGTTTGTTAAATTATTAAAATCATAAAGTTAAGAATATTTTGAGACATAGCCAACAACCAGAGAAAATTCCAGGACCCCGTTTCGTGAAAGTTGTTAATAGAGACCATTGCCACCAAATGACATGTTAACTGACACTGATCAAACTTGATAACAGGTGAATATGGATAAAGATCAGTTCAATAGTTGAAGTCTTATTAGAAGAGGCTTTCATAATGCCTGTGATAAGTGAATTATCATCAGTTATATCAAATCATGAGTTTTTCTTCCATTGATGTTGGAAACGTGAAGAAGCCTGAATCTCAAATAATCTTTTCGAAACAAGATGTCTCAAATCTAAAGTAGGGATTTTTTAGGGGTACCAGAAGAGCGGAGACAGGCAGCCACTGAACATTTTTTGTAAACAGTAATTTCGTCGTTTCAGCAATTTTATTTGGTGCCTTGATTGACTTTTGAATGAATGTGTGTTTCAATTGTGTTGTAGATGAAGGAATGGGACAACAAACATCGAAAAGTAAGAACAAGCTATTTTTTGAGCCAATCGACTCAACAACTGCCCCAATCCTCAAAAGCACAGAGATGGAGACAGAAGTTGCCCCTGAAATGCCTGATGCAGTTAACCCAGAATCAGCTGAGGATGGTTCAGACAATCTCAAATGCTCAGGTTCAGAGGTCAGTAAAATGAGCTAGTCTTATACTTCTGTTATTTCTTAGTAGCTACTTTATTACCTAAACAGCTACTTCATAATGCTAATTTCTAATCAGCCAATCATACAGCAGCAATAATACACAGGCATGGTCAACAGGTGGATGTTGTAACAACATCATCTTTGGCCACAAGTATTAGAAAGGTGTGCGTTATAAAGTGGCCACTGTAACTACCATAGCTTCTCACATAGTCTGTTAACATGTCAATCTTGTGCAGCATTATGTTCAATTAAAAAAATGTTTTTGATTAAAAAAACAAATAAATCTGATTTCTAAGAACACAGAGTGAAATGCAGCATTCAGTACCACAATACAAATAATTCAATTAAAAAAAAATGCAATCAACCTTCCTAAATGCTCACTTATTTAACTAACCTGAATATGTGGCATTTTGTTCAGATGGTTGAATCTAGTTATGGCTTGTGTTCTGAAGAAGAAAATTCAAAATCCCATGAAGGAGTCTCGGATAAAAGGCTCTCAGGGGAGAAAGGTGGCAACACTTTACTCAAGGAGAATGTGTGCCAGGTAGGTGTGTTAAAACTTGTTCACACCAAGAAAGATAACTGTAATGATACTGTAACTATAGTGCAGATGATAATACATACAGTGGGTACGCTGCAATATAACAAAGAGTGAAAAATTGAAGGGGGTCTGAATATATTTCCGTACCCACTGTATGTTGTCTGCCACTTTAAATGCTTAAGCTCGTTAAAATAAGGTGTATTCTGTATGGCTGTCAATGAATAATGTGTTCATCAGCTAAAAAAAATTAATTGAAATCATTCCTCTATATCGTTATTGTTTTAGCTGTTGTGTGGACTTTGCAGTTACCATTATAACCTTTATTGTCTATCTTTTTTATTTTTTCTTGGACATTTGAGAGTACACAGTTATTGTAGGAATACATACAATCAAACTACAATAGAAAGTATAGAATTTACATTTAGTCATTTAGCAGACGCTTTTATCCAAAGCGACTTCCCTGCCGGTACAAGACTCAAACCCGCAACCTTTGGGTTACGAGTCTGACTCTGTAACCATTAGGCCACGACTTCCCCACAAGATGGCTAAAGGACTCAGCTGCTCGGATTGAGTTGGGCAGGTCATTTCACCAGGAGGGAACAGTTGAAAAAATGATGAACTGATGAAAAACTGATGAAAAAGTCAGTGAAAGTGATTTTGTGCCTCTTTGAGATGGCACAATAATGCGTCGTTCACTTGCAGAACGCAAGCTTCTAGACTAGAGGGCACATTAGTCTGAATGAATGAATTTAGGTAAAGGGGTGCAGAGCCATTGGTGGTTTTGAAGGCAAACATTAATGCCTTGAATTTTATGCG